AGTGTGGTATCATGTTGCTACGGCAGGTACCGTTCAGATCTAGGCCAGAATAAACAGATCAGATAGTTCTGACGTTACGACCACGGTATCATATGCCATAAAGTGAACATAGCTGTGCTCATCATAGAGTTATGCCTTTGGTATTAGGCAAAATATTGTCAACAGAGAAAGTGAGAAATTTTACTACTACTGCAGGCAATAATATATATACACATTTACTGTTAAAAGATAGAAAAATTAAAATACAAAAAAGCAGTAAACAAAGGAAATCTGTGATTCATATGTATTTTCTCTTTTTTTTGCTCTCTCTGCTCTTTTATTTTTGTACCGACACTGCACATATGTACAGCCTATTCTTGGCAAACCACTTTTCACAGATCATTTTAACATCAAGAAAGCCTAATGGAAAGACTTGAAGCGTGGCAACACTTTATTCAGATTTGACCTAAATATTGCCTTGTCTCTCCCGTTGCTGCATGGTGCTTCTGTACATATTGTGTTACAAGATTACTGATTAAAACCACATCCTTTGTTCTATGCATCTGAAAATTGTAGTTTTATTCCTTATTTTCCCCTGCCTGGATTCACCATTATTTATTTAACAACTGTTTGCTGCCCTAATACAGTCCAAGCCAAAAAACACCATGCAAATATGGCATGACAGATTGACTGCAACATCAAAACTGATCCTGGTTTCTGAAGTGACTTCTCTTAATGATGAAATTGGAGCCAGTTCTAGCATATTTCACCAGAGTTTATGAGAGTCTTTTGCAATTACTCTCTGTTAAGCGCCATTCATTAGTCTGGAGCACAAAGCAACGGTATTTAATCACAAGGCCTTGGATCCTTAATGCTACCACAGTGCCAGACATGAGATGCTAGGATTCTGGAATATGGAAATCAAATAAATAACCTTGATTTTTTTTTATTTTTTTACAAGATCACTTATCAAATAAACTTTGTATCACAGTGCTCAAAGTTCTCCTGGGAACTACGAAAGATTGTTTTCAGTTCTCCTGCACCCCATATATATTCAACCCCTAACAGCGCCTGCAAGGAAAAGAACCAATACCGATATTCTCCTTTATCTATCTTACATAAAAAGAATTAAGTGCAATCATTTAGTTATGCAAAACAGTTTGTACTATATTTGAACACAATGTCTTTTCCGAAAAGGTACCCTCTGTTGTTAGTTCCTCCCAAATCTGTGAACATTTCTGCATGACACCATGACACATTCTTCTCTGAAGCTACTTCTTTCTCACTGTTTTATCATTCTCAGTGCACAGAGAATGCAACTCAGTTTGATAATAGCACACCTCAGCCTTTTGTCAGCAAATCTATCTTTTGGATATTAATAGGGAAGCAGAGGTGGCAGATATATCATATTTAAAACATCATTTAAATAACAAAGTAATGTGATCTCAAAAACCACTAAAGAGTTATCTAGTTTTAACTATACAAAACACAGATTAAACTAATAGTGTAATGTTCCCAACTGCTACTTCCTGTTGTCTCTTCTCCTTCACTCACCCACTCAATTCCCCATTTAATCCCCTCCCCATCCATACTCCAGAAACACAAGGAGTTTTGAGGAAGAGATCTAAATATTTTGTAAGTAAACTGAACTTCAACATTCCCAAGCTTTTGTTAAAGACTCAAATATCACAAATATTTTACATTCAAAGAAGCTACCCAAGTTAAAGTTCCTGTTCACATTTAGCACAGATATTCACCTACATTTTATGTTTACGCAGCCAGTTAAAAATAGTGTGCACATATGTATGCATGTGTTTTTAATCAAGGGCCATGCAGAAGCACTAACATAAATAGCGTGCATGGAATTTATAACAAAAGTACACAGTTAAAATAGATTTTTTATAAGTATAATGGCAAGATGTACTGCTCACATGATATACAGTTAAATCAATATTGCAATTTAATAGAACAGTTTACTATGAAGGAACTATTCACATCCTATTTTAAAAATCATAAAAACTGAAAAGTAAATAGTTAGAACCTAAGAAACTTAGAAGCAAAGACTAGATGATTTTTCCAAGATGATCAGACTTTTTTTTTTTTTTAATTTTGCAGGAAAACAAAATTTAATCTCCTTCTATTACGCAGTTAATTCATGTTCAAATTCACATTCATCACAAGAATGAGGATAATAGCACTGCCTTTTAAAAAAGCATAATTTAATCAGAGAACTGTGAGCAGGAAAAAAAAATACCACCATTTTTATTCAAAACAAAAGCACACTAAAAGATCTCAGGCAGTTACAGCAGTGAAAAATTAAGTGAAGAACCAGTGCAAATGTTCCTTAATTTTAAACCACAATGTGATAAACAATGTATTCTAATTTTTCGCCATACACTCCAATGTATGCTATGCTTTGCTATATTACAACCTCAGGAAAGCACGAGCGCTTACTAGAGCCTATTGCCGTTTGTTCACAGACTGATTCTAGAGTTTTGTTTTTAAAGACATAGACAGCTGATCGTCCCCCTGCACAGCCTCCCCCCCATCAAGCTTCCTCCTCCTGCTTGAAGAAAAGTCCCTAATTCCTTTCTCACAAAGGAACTTACATTATTTCAGGTCTGAGGCACTCCGTGCGTTTCCTTCCGCAAAGCTGAGAATTCTGACTTAGATTGGTAACATGCATTTACAAAGACAAATCAAAGAACAGCAAATCACTTACCCGCTTTAGCCACGTGAAGTGCTTGTAAATATCAATCTCACCATCCATGCTTTGGGCCCATCTCAGCAGTCACGTTCCCAGGGCTAAAAGAAACTTTTGGAAGCAAGCGCGCTGCTTTGTTCTACAGGATATAGCTGTGACTTCTTCCCCTTTAAACCCATCTACTTCTAAATTCTTGAACGTGTGTACACATTTCAAGTTAAATCTACTGCCTCTGTCCCACAGTCTTATCCCAAACACTTCTCATAGATGTATATATAATGCACAACTGTATAAACTTCAGACTCTCCCCCAAACATCTGTTTTTTTAAACAGCAGATCTGGTTAGCAACCAGAACAATGTAAATCTAAAAATACTAAAAATATAACTTGCTAAACGGTCTTTAAAAAGGGATCTTTCAAGAACAGTATAAATCTGCAGAAACTATTCACTTTTAGCGCTGAATAACAACCTAAAATTATTAAGCTGTCACTGTGAAACTATTTTCAAGTAATGCTTTCCCTGGCTTTCTGCTTCAAGAGTGGCTGGAATTCATTACAAAGACCCCCTATTTCCTGTCTCTGTTTTACTCCCTGTTTATCGTAACACTACTCAGCCTTCTCAGTTTATTTCAGGCCCTGACTAAACCTAAAAATAAGTTATGCTCTTTGAATTAGTGGCCTGTCCTCACAAAAGACATTATAAAAAAGGAGAAATTCAAGGACGAGTCAGTGGATAATCTGATTATTCCATAAATAGTGCCAGGAAGGCAGTTTTCCATCTTAACTAAAGATGATGATACCCTTTTTAAGATTTTTGTCTGCTTTTGCTGAAACCTCGTGGAATGGCAACTTTTCAAACTTGCAATACGGAGATTAATGCATATGCAAAGCAACATTCTGGCAAAGAAGGGATCTTTAAAAATACTCCCTGTTACTGTGGGGTCCTCTAGTGCCTCTGCACAGTACTTATGACTACACTCTAACCTTTCCCAACAAACTTCAGTTTCTTGATATGTCCCTCTATTAAAAGCGGCTTTGGTCTTAAACTGTAAAACTGTTCTATATACAAACACAATGTATTGGGCAATGCCTGTTAACACCAAAATGCTGCTGTCCCCTAGGATTTTTTGTGATCATCTCAGAATATTTATTTTGCTCCACTTTTTTTTTTTTCTTTCAGTTCCTACAGCCAAATACATTCATTTAAGACATTTAAGACAAAGTGCAAGAACATGGAGCCAGGACCAAAGTTGCCCATCACACTAACAGTATATGCAAAGAATTCGAAGTCTCAAACTGCATAATGCTCTGAAAAGCAGTTCTTAAAGGGATCTATCATACTTAGCCATCTATCCACCCTTCAAACTGGAAATCGTAGATAAAGGAGTTTCTGCAAGGAGTTTTACTATTTCAAATATTCTCGATCCTTCTGACCAGTGCATGTCTTTTTTGGATCTTCCAAGTGACAAGCAGAGAAGGATACAAACCTAGACTACCAGCCTTCTTTGAGTACTGGACAGTAATAAATATATCAAGTTCTATGACAAGAAAAATGTGAAAGGTTTTTAAAAAGTTAGTACTACAAGTCTTCTAAAGATGCTAGAGTAACTAAAATTGGCAGAAAATGGAACAAGGTAAAAGAACTTTTCTAAAAGTGAACCATGCCATGAGACAGCACCTGAAAAGAACTCAACTTTCTCTGTACATCAAACATGCTTATTCTATGCCAATTGTACAAGTTTTTATGCTATGATAACATTGGTGAGAGCAGCTCTTTCTTGGATAGAAATCATTTGAGATGCACTCAGTACAGGACATTTCTCTGTGTCTGATAGCCTCTGTCATAATTGACTAAGGGGGTTCTCTTGAGATTAAAATATGAAATCCCTAGGGGCACTTTTATTTCCCAGAAAATGAGTTATCTGATTATAAAGAATAGCAAATGCATCAGACTTTCTCACATTATGGTGTATATACATACACATGTATATATGTGTATATTTATACATATACTGTGTACAGCCAATTACAGAATCCCATATCCATATTTAATCCAGCTCAAAACAGAGGTTGCAAGACTTATTTCAGGCTTATTTAGCGAACTGGGGGAAAGTACTCTGTACTCTCTTAAGACGTTCCACAACATATTATGTCTTAATGATTTTGCTTTACAGCAGAGAGAAAAAAAAAAAACCAAAAAACCAAAAAACACTGAAAGAAAATTGTATTCTTCCACTTACAAGTACCTCAGTGTAGCATCTGCAGCTAGGCAAGTATCAATTTTTCCTGTTAAAAGTATTTTAAATCACAAACGTACCTTATTTTTGCCTTGTCACTTGTTCTGGATTTCATGCAAAGGTCTCTTGATTTTGTTACAGTCATTCTTCCTGATTAAGAGGTAAGCGTGCCTGAATTTTCTGCATCTTATCAGCTATGAATGTTGACAACATACATTCCAGACAGTCACGTGTTCCCTTTCAGCCTGTCACCTGCTTGCTGAACTTTATGTCCTGCTTGAGCTTTGGCCTGAAAAAGTTTCAGGCACCAAATGAATTCAAATCCAAATTTGCTTAGAATTTCTCTGGAAAAACAGGTTATTTCCTCTGGGCAGTGTGAAAGCATGGAAAATATGTTGCAATGTGAGGATTGCTTCATCGGGTTAGTGCTGTGTTTAAGGAAAAAAAAAAAAAGCAAGTGAAGGAAATGCATGTTTACGCATAGTTCTTCACTGAGCACTGACTTTTAGTTGAACGGAGAGCTAAATATCAAACCAAATAAAATAAAATCAGCCCCCAACATCACTGTAATGCCAACACCCTCATATAAATAAGTCAAAGAGAGAGAATGATCTAGCTGTTCACTCAGTATTAAGTTTTCCTTCATCCATTGCTCTACATCCATTACTTCCTGATCCTTATGTTTGAACTGGCTTGGAAGCAAAGGGATTAGAAACACATTATATCTGGGAAAATGTCCTCAACATGCCAAATTCACACACCTCTCAGTGCTATGATGCAGAAAAACGTGAGAACTGGAGAGCGAGGAAAAAGAAAATACGAGAATGCACCTGCACGAGAATACAGGTAAAAAAAGAAATAGCAACAGAAATCCTTTTTATATACTGAGGAAAGTTAAGCATTTCCGGTAAGATTGTTGTTCAGAGTCTTAATAATTACTAATTGACAATTTCTAAAGGACAGAGCTAGATAAAACTTACTGAAACAAACAAACAAAAAAGGCCTACTTCATTCTCTACGTGAACATATTTGCTTTAATTGTAATAAACAAATGAAATCAGCATCCTGGGAAAGACCATGAAAAACATTATGTGGACAAGCTCATCTATTTACAAAGACAAGAAACGTGCCAGCCTACTGTATGCTACTTCATAAATGTGAAGTGTAAAAATAACTGTAACTTGTTTTTCTTTCTGAAATATCACAAAACCTGAAAATGTTTAGTTGTGTTTGAACTGAACGTCTTTGTTGACTGTTGCATTATTGCCTACTATGTAGGTATTTTTTAGAATTACATTTTTACACTAAAGTTTGTTACATTAATGCAGTATACCATATTTAAAACAATGAAAAGCAATGCAGCCAGAAATGAAGTGACAGAACACAACGTCAAGTAAAAAACCGTTACCACCCATAACATTAGCTACAAAACTAAAGACAAACGTGATACTCTGTGACTTAGTGCAAAGCCACTGAAGACAACAGCTGAAAGAGTCCTAGGCAAACGGAGTCCTAGATAATATAAATAAATCATATTCATCCTTTTGAAGGCTAGCATGCAATTTCTGCATACAATCATGAATTCCTACGAGGAAGCTTGTAGTCCCTCTGACAATATCAAGGTATCAGATAGCCCATATGGGTAAGAATTGCCCTCAAGGGCTAAACTTCATAGCATGCCACCAGGCTATCTTGAAATATTGGAACATTTAACATAAAAACAAGTCTTGATATTATAACCAGAATACTGTCTCTCATTCATGAGTGCTGAAAGCCTATGGCCATAACACAGTTCTGTTTAATTGCTTCTGGTCATTGTAATTGAAAGTTGACTCTATTAAGTATTATTGGTCATTACATGGTTGCAAGAAACTGCAGAAAACTAACCTCAGTACATCATTTTAAGAAAAAGACCTAGACCTACTTGCTGCAAAGGTATTTTCAACTTGCTTTAATTATTTGTGCAGAATAGATTTTCCTATCTATGAAAAACAGCTAATACAGAATTACACGGAATAGCTAGAATTGGAAGGGACCTCAAGGATCATGAATCTCCAACCCCCCTGCCACATGCAGAGCCACCAACCTCCCCACTTCATACCAGACCAGGCTGCACAGGGCCCCATCCAACCTGGTCTTTAACACCTCCAGGGACGGGGCATCCACAACCTCTCTGGGCAGCCTGTGCCAGCACCTCACCACTCTCTGTAAAGAACTCCTCCCTGACATCCAACCTAAATCTTCCCTTCTTAATAATAATATCCATAATAATAATAATAATAATAATACAATGAACTTCGCTGACAGAAAATATGAAACTGACTCCCAGACAAGCAACAATGGAATGTTAAATAATAATAATAATAAATCAATTCATCCTGGCTTAGGTAAATTCCATGCAAGCCATTTACACCTTCCTTCCCAGTAGTTCCAAGGCATTCTCTAGTATTCATAAAGAGTAGGCATGAAGTATATTGCTGCTTCCTGTGTGCTGAGAATTACTCTAACATGTTTGAGGAAGTCAGAAGACCAGACCTGCCTGTTCAGGGCTTCCTTGCATCACTAACTCATTGAAAAGGAGCTGGAGCACAGCAGAGGACTGGGTCACTCAAAATTCAACTGGAACAACTGCTGAGAAAACATATCCATCTAGTATTTCAAACTGGAAATAATATACATAAATGCATACAGAATAATAGCTTGGCTATACCATCCCAAGCAGACTTTGCTGGTATATTTTCAATTTAGCATGTGCCAACGCCACTTGGTAACGGGAAGATTCAGCTATATATAGCTCTGTCATGACTCTCAACATTTGAGTCCTGCAGTCAAACCTACCAGGAGATAGATGTACTGGATTTAACTGACATTGCTCACAACATATTCTCTTCCCATTCAGCTGTTGTTGAAGAGTCCTACTGCTGCATACATGTAATTCTTCTGTTTTTAGTAGCAATAACTTACATTCCAATTAAATATTTATACAGTACACTTCTAAAGACTTCTTGTAACAACAGTTCATATACAAGAAATACACAATTATTTTTTCTTTTAACTAGCAGAGGATATTACTACTATACTCCATCTTTATAAAAGTATTTGTTCGAGTCTGTCTTGAGGTATCTTGCCCTGAGGAGAATGACCAGGGGGTCCTGATGGACAAAAAGCTGGACATGAGCCAGCAGTGTGCTCTTGCCATCCAGAAGGCCAATGGTATCCTGGGCTGCACCAAAAGAAGGGTGGTCAGAGGGAAGGGATTTTGCCTCTTGAGAGGCCCCATCTGGAGTACTGTGTCCAAATCTGGGGATCCCAGTACAGGAAGGGCTTGGAGCTGTTGGACTTGGTCCAGAGGAGGGCCTAAGATGATCAGAGGATCGGAGCACCTCTGCACCTCTCCTATGAAGAGGCATTGAGGTAGCTGGACCTGTTTAGCATGGAGAAAAAAAAGGCTCCAGGGAGACCTCATTACAGACTTCCAGTATTTAAAAGCAGCTTACAAGCCAGAGGGCGATTGATCTTTTCCACAGCCTGATAATGATAGGACAGAATGGCTTTAAACTATTTAAAAGAGAGGAGATTTAGGTTAGACGTTAGGAAGGAATTCTTTTCTCAGAGGGTGGTGAGGTACTGGAACAGCTTGCCCAAAGAAAGGATTCCCCATCCCTGGAGGTATTTTGAGGCCAGGCTGGATGGGATCCTGGACAGCTTGATCTAGTGATTGCAACCTTGCCTGTGGCAGGGGGTTGGAACTAGATCATCTTTAAGGTCCCCTCCAACATAAGCAATTCTATAATTCTCTCCCCTTTCTGTTTCCTCAAATTTAGTGCCTTCAAAAAAAGATTTTCAGAATTAAGCTTCTAAGAAAAAACATCATGAGGAAGATACTCAGGATTTCTCATGAAGCAGCATTTTAAGGATCAGTATATAAAGCTACACAGTGAAGTGGCTGAAATTTAACATAAACACTCCACTAGAAGTAAGATCAGGTTTTACAATCATGAAAATAAGGGTTTTCACCTATTTTTAAAATTATTTGAGGACCTCTGTAAGAACACTAGAGTTCTCCTTTGTACTCAAAGAAGTGATCAACAAAGATGAATTAATAAATGAACAGCGTAGACAGTCAGAGTTCTAAAATAAAACTGTACCTAAATGTATTCTCTCACAGCTCATCAATTCAAACATAGCCCGTTGTTACCGCAACAGTTAATTTTTAATGCTGAAATTATTATCTACTTCATGATATGTCCTGTGGTTGTTAGCAGTACTAAAATATTTATTAAGAAGCAGTGAAACCACACGCAAAATGGTTTTATGTATTTGAAGTTTCCTTGAAAATTCTTTTAAATGTCTTACGACAACCCTCCTCTTCTTTGTTGTTCAGTTTTCAAGGCCAAAGAATTTACAAACATAAAGCATGTACAAGACTGCATGAATGCACTTGGAGGCACAAATTTTTAGTATAGTTCTTAAGTAGTAAAAAAGCTACTATTACTGAAGCTTTATTCCATTTTTGTTTCATCAGAAGAACAGCGCTTTTCTAACATCACAAAAATTGTTATATCCTCATTTCATTCTATGTAGTAACCACCTAAATTCAATGCTACTTCATCTATCTCAAATCAATGTTGTTGAGGTGAATACAGTACAGCTGAGTGCAAATTGAATATCTTGACGTTCAGAGATGCCAGACTACAGAAATTCAAAAAGGAGCCTTTGCAGAATACACGAATTCGCAATATGTGGAAATTTTAGTTCCACAAAAAAGTACAAAATCCAACTCCACTTGAAACACTCTATCACCCCCAGAGGTCCCATTAAAAATAAATAAAATTAACGCCCTCAAATGACGGAATAAGCAAAGTAATGTCAGATGTGAAACAAATCCTGAAGTTTTCATACCTTAGACACAACTGAATTTTCACACATCTTTGGTATATGTAACAGAATTGGTAAGAAACATTTGGTGATACTTCACACCTAATAATGGTACTAAATGATAGAATTAATGGAAGGCAAGACTCAATAATGACATCCAACTCTCAGCTCCACACAGGACTACCAAAAATTTTAAAACATGGAAGTTTTGTGCATGCTTATAGTTGTTTTGTTTGGGTTTTTTTGTTTGTTTGTTTGTTTGTTTTAACTGTAAAGAAAAAGTGCACATTCTAAGATTGAGTTTAGCAGATGTTTTGTAGTAAATAAAAAAAAAAATACACCTACTATGCTCAAATCCCCTCATGCATACAGATGTCCTTAAAATAAGTGT